TGCCCCAACCTCAGCCACAGCCAACGCTACAATCTAGACCCCGACACAGCTCCATCTCCACCCTGCTCACAGCACATACGCATGTAAGACGACTTCTTTGCCGCTGACATTTGTAGCTCATAAATGGAATCCTCTCATGTTATGCTCTTGCTGTAGGTTAAAAATGAAAAGCAATTTGGAAATGTTTTTTGTTATTCATAATTAATGCTAATACCTTACAAAATCATACTGGCTGTTATATTTTGTGATATTTAACTACACCCTTTGAGTCCTTATTGCGTGGACCAATGTGCAGATGTAGAGTTAAATTGGGAATATGTTCTTCTTGTCTCAAGGGCTCGCTGCAGTGTCCTTACAGAGCGAGACGAGGGCACCGTGTCCATCTCAGCTCTCAACAGGCACATCCACACGCTGAGGAAGAGGATCAGGCATTTTGAGGAGTGTTTTGAACAGGAGAAGCATTATAAGGTTTGGCAGTGAATCAGACTTGCTTCATCAGGGTGCTGTAAAGATATTTAAGTTCTAAACTGTTGCTGCTAAGGATGAATTACTCCCTCTGCTGGAACATTGGTAGCATAATGGTTTGTTAGACAATGAGGAACAAGCTGGTGATAATGATTACTTTGAAAAAACACTTACTTGGTATCCAGTGCAACAGACTGGCCACTGTTATGTGAGATATCGTTTTCTGTTGTTTTTTTTTCCAGCCAGCACACAATGACAAGACAGCACATCCAGAGGTGGCCAGACTGATGAAGGAGCTCATCAGGTGTCGCAAGCAGCTTAAAGGTCAGTTATATAACCAAAAACATTCGCAAGTAAATTATTTTAAAAACTGCAGCGGGGAAAGAAGTTTCGTAAGTGGTTCGATTATCGGAGCTACATTGAAGCCTGAGCTGAAAATATGTACCTGTAAGCTAAACAACTAATTTTGAAACGTTGACTTAAATGTTGCATATACCATGAATGTAAATGTCAGTAATGTAGGAGATAATCCATATGTAATAATTAATTAACTGAAATGAAAAGAGAGATGTTTATAGAAATTAGTAGGCTGAAATGTCATTTTAAAATGAAATGGTAGCAGAGAAATTATTATCTTTAACCTCCTAAGACCCGAACTCTTCCATTGCCTGCATTTTTTATTTCTCTTTGATATTTGGGCATATTGGGAGCTGATGAATGTAAAAACAAAGAATCACCAGATTTTTTTTAACTTAATTTTTGTTTCTAAGAAAAATGAGAACCACATATGAGGATATTTGTTTAAATTCCTGCTCTTTCCTGTAGAGCTGAAGCTAAGGCAGTCAAAAGAAGCTGAAACATGCAGGGGCAATACAGACAAACAGGAGGCAGTACCGACAGGAACTGAGCTCCAGCAGCTGAACAACAACAGCAACGCCAAGCCAAACGTAGAGGAAACGGTGAACATTATAACAAACAGGCTGAAGGAAAGACGGCAAGAGCTGGGCCTGCCCGACAGCATTAAGGTTGATTTTGCAGAATTGTTTGTACCATTAACACAAATATAGCAATACAAGTTTGGACGTTAGATGTTCTAAGAGTTTATTAGTTTTCACTACTCCCGTATGTACAGGAGATGTCCCCTTTCCAGATGAGTATGGAGAAGACCAGCATGCAGAAGTGTTTGTTGTACTTCGAGAGTCTTCACGGACGGCCGGTAAGACAAGCTTGGATGAATGCTCTTTGTTTTGATTCTTTTGAGAAGTAGTTTTATTTATTTTTATAAATATCTTTCTAGTCTGGTGAAAATCTATCTTAACGTTTTTCTTTCTTCATCTCTGTTGTCAGAGCACCAAGCAGGAGCGAACTTTGATGAAACCTTTCTACGATCGCTACCGTCTTCTCAAACAGCTGATTTCTTCCTCAGCCACAGTAAACATTACAACCATTGTGAGTCAACATTCAGTTGATTTTTTGTTTGTTGAAAGAGAGATAATACCAATGATGCTGAATTTTTAAGAAGAAAGGTTAAACTCAGACTACATCTTGCTGAATAGAACAGCTGCACAATAATATTATGAAACTTCTCTTTATAATATTAAGAGATATAAACAATAATAATGATTTATAGAAAGTCAGCTGGTTTTATCTATCCATCTCTTAACTTTCAGAACTGGACCATTGAAAATCGTTGGATTTACCTCTCTCTTTACCTTTCTCTTTCTTCTTTATCTGCACAGGAGGAAGAGGAGGGCTCTGATGAAGAGCATCCCAAACAGAGAAGCCCCAGGCAGCAGCCGCTGTGGTTAAAACCCTCCATGTGCGTGTCTTTAGAGGAGTTGCAGTGTCCGCCCTCCCTAGAAATGTCTGAATCGCCTCTGGTATCGCCGCTGGAAGAAGTGAAGGTTCTCCACCCGCAGATTATCACTATGGCAACACTACATGAAGCTTCCAGGTAAAAAAAAAAAAAAAACCCGATTTGCTCAGTCATGTTTTAAAGAAAGATAAAGATGGTTCGCATTTGTTTTTCTTTGATCAGCTTGTCTTTAGTTGTGGTTTATTTATTTAAACACAATCCAGATGATATAAAAAGTTGATGAATTGGTTCTTTCTTAATGCAGACCAGAATTACTCGATCACCTCAGGCTGACTCGATCAGAAAAGCGGAGGGTTCACCAAGCGCTTCGAGAGTTTGAGGACCAATTCTATGCACAGACTGGCAGGTAACACACCATGAAGCACATACGTACGTAACACATCAAGAGTACTTGGCTTTTGAATTTTATTTTGTCTTTTACTAAACTTGGAACATTTGGTTTTCAACAATGCCTTGTGAAAAAAAAAAAAAAGAAAGAAAGAAAAACATCCACAAAAGAAATTCCATTGTTATGGTACGACAGTGTAATGCACACTCATGTAACATTAATCCAGCACACAGAGCTCAGGAAAGACAGATGTTTGCTCTGAATTGTACACAGTACTGTACATGTTAGTCCTCCAAAGTTAATGCAGTAAGTCTTTTTTTTTTTTTTTCTAATTACAATACACACTGTACAAAGCTATCTGAGTAAGGCAACATAGGGACCATCAACCAGTTATGGAAGCTGCTGCAAGTTGTTTGGAAACTACAAACTAAAGTTTGCTTTTCATTTGCATCTTCCATCCTCCGTATATCATTAACAGGGCATGTCAGAAGGAGGACCGTGGACCAATGGCGGAGGAGTACTGCCAGTATAAGAACCTTAAAGCGAAGCTCCGTCTACTGGAAGCCCTGCTTAGTAAACAACAGGACTCAACCAAGACAAGTTGAGTTACTCACAGTGGGACCTTTTTCTCTAACTTAACAGGACTCGATCATTTCTGAAATAAATCAGGTCGTGAAGCCGGTGGTTCTGGTCTTGTTTCATGCCATGCTCATTATGTAGATGCACTTTACATGAAGGAAAAAGTGATGGAAATTGGTGACAATCTAAAATGCGGGGTCACTGCAGTCCCAAGAAGACATCCCTTATTATTCATGACCCATCTTATTATAAACCTGATGTAGCAAGCTTATGTTATGTAGCACAAATCTATGTCAAGAATGAAGCGCTGTAATAACTTGATGTTAGTTACACTGGAGTCATTTTAAGATTATGTATTATATGGCACTTTTTGTTATTCACTTTTTCCCCCCTTGCCAAAACACTATTTGACACCTGTGTCCAGGGTTAATGTGGAAAATGCATTTAAAAGTGCTGTGTTGGCAGAGACGCGTAAGCTTAAATGCAGTCAATGAGACAATCCTGCAGTGTTTGTGCATGTCCGTTTTTAGTCCTACATTGTGCTATGATATGTATTAAGAATTACATAGTTGAGCTATATTGTAACTTTTGAATTTGCGTGTTCACCTTGGAAAAATGTGAATTTTGGTGAACATCATAGTGCAAGTTATACAGTACCTGCTGTCGAATTTGTGTTTACCCCCATTTTTGCCTATATGAAGTTTATCCCCCCTAAATGCCGTTGTTGACAATGATCAGAGCTTTTAACATTGTGCACTTCTGGTTTATATAGTTTTCTATATATCTATATATAATATATGAATGTATCAATAAAAATAAATATTTTTTCACATTTATTCTAATAAACACAGTTTAAGGTTCCACTTTCTTTCTTTGCACTAACTACAACGAAATAATAATGACTGTTGCAGAAAAGGTTGCTATGACAGAGGTACTGACAGCTTTCAAACTCATGCTGCACAGAACTGCATCATGCTTTTCTTTTTTTTTTTTTTTTTAAAAACAAATAGTTCACTCTTGGTCATCAAAGACTCGGTGAATACACATTTCAGAGGCTGTTGCATTAGTACGGTTAAGATTCCACAGCGGTTTTATGTCTGGTTTTTAATACCTTTGGTATAAATCAAGATGACTATCGATGCTGCAGCCCTAGAAAATTGTAGTACCAGTCCATGCCACTAGGAGGAGGTAAAAACAATTTGTCAACTGTTCAATGACAATCAAACATCGTAAAAAATGACAATAAAATAAGACAATGTAATCAGAAAAAAGAAATTGTCCACACACACAGTGGGCAGTTAACAGTATATCTATAAGAGCAAGGCATAGGCCAATAAAGTATGGGACAACTGATTTGAGAAACAACAGGAAATTGAAATGAAGCAGCCCATGTTTGTTAGTACAGTTAAAGGGTTTTGTAAGTGTGACTTGCCGGATGAGTAGATGGATCTGTGTCGTCGGTGTCCCAGGTTTACATATTTCAGTCTGCTGACTCCTAAGATATCTTTATGTGTTTCTGTTTTCAACATTAGGATAACCCACCCTCAGATGAGTAGACAATGGTGCAGGTGTCAGAGTGGTGTACCTTCGTCTTTTTCTCCACTCTTCTTTGGGAATGATGGTCTTTTGAGAGTACAGAGCAGTGTCAGAGATATGTTGGTGTTAGCCTACTAAATCTGCTTCATGCATGTGTTGGTCTGCTTCATCAGTACATGTGGACTTCCTTTGTGTGAGTAGAGGTCAGTTACTCCCCCCCCCCCCCCCCCCCTCCTACGCTCTTTTTCCTTTTAAACATTCTGCTGTTTCCCCTAGCGTCCCACGCTGATGTTGCAGGTCTTGCAGCTGGGATCCTTCTTGGCATTTACTGTGGAGAGACTCATCAGCTGGTGCCCACTGATCTCTGCCACTGTGCCCAAGGATAGGTCTACAGGCTCTGTGTAGATCACCTCCAAGATGACATCTTGGGCGTGGTGAAACACCAAACCACCATCACCCTCTTCAACCTGCTTGCAGGTAAGGAAACGGTTGTTGGTAATGTCGAGCAAAGGAAGCCTCTGCTTACAAAACTCATCACCCCTTGAGCCTTTCGGTGCTAGAACCAGAATCACATAGTGGTAGGCTGTATACATACAGTAGAAGTCTCCAAAGTACAGGTTGGTGTCAGGGTTGAAGAGCGCATCAGCCCGCACCTCAAAGCGATGGCGACCATACGGGGAATCCTGCGGGGGCTTGCCAGTGTTGAACTCTGTGTTGCAGCTGAAAAAGATGCCCTCCAGCTTACCACTGATGGGAGAGCCATGGCTGCCACTGTTGTCTTTAATAGAGGGCAGCATCCGGTTTTCTTGCGCCTCCCTGAAGTTTGCAAACAAAGGAATGAAATCTGTTTTATTCTGTTTTTGCATTTCTCTGGCAATCAAAGTAGTTTTTGTAAATACTGGAGAGAGTGGCACCAGGTTTTAATTTGGAAATGAAAGAGCAATTTTCTGGAATTTGTAACACATGGGAAATAAACTGAATGCGTAAGATGCAAAACATCTTGAATACTGAGCCTCATAATACAAAAAGTTTTATAGTAATCACATTTAGCTTAGTCCAGTTTGTGTCATTGGAATCCCGGGGGTGAAAATATTCCAATGAGCTGTTTGGTTTTTTTCATTATGACAAACTGCTATAAAACAAAAGCAGCTTTCAGATTAACAACTGAACATTCAAAGCATCTGTGGCAGCTGCATACACTTTCTTCTCCACAGAGGGAATCTGAGCAGCAAAGTCCCAATAATGGAACTGTAATTATTACGGCAATTCATACAGCTATCACTCCAGAGGTTCTTATTATATCCATATTTCAAGCTTTGTCATGGGCTTTATGGACTATTCAGCTCCAACCACAAGTGTTAAGAGCCTCATGTGAGCGGTACTGTCAGTACTCTTACTCGCCACATGATGACGCAGTTTAACAGGCGCACGGTACACTGTAGCAGCTACAACTCAGCAAAAGGGAGATGACTATCCAGATGACATCATGCTGTGTAGCACCAACAAAAGACTGCCCACAAGCTGTGGCTTTAGTACAGAGACTGTGCTTTGTTAAGCTGTGAGCATTACCTCTGAGGGACAGGGTGATAGGAGAGAAAACAGTCACTCCGTTAAAAGGAGGAGAAAAGAGGCCAAAAGTGGAAGAAAATTCACTCACATGAAACGAGATAAAAATCAGTTCACTCTAGCTGCACAATGCTTCAGTAAACAGTAGTAGACCACTCCAGAGATATCCCTTCTTTTCCTGTCATACTCGTGTTATTTTTGTTTTTCTTTTGACTACATTCCCGAACAACTGCCAGCTATTGTCTGTCAGCTACATGGAGCTTTCAAACAAATCAAAGTGTAGAAGAAAGACCTGGCTTTTCGTTTGATGTGCATGCGTAGCATTGTTTACTGGGGGGAAAAATGGCTGGCTGCTCGAGTACTTATTTCTGCAGATTCATGAAACCAATGCAGCTGAATCTGGTTTTGTTTTGCTTTAGCAGCTGAAGAGCAACACATTTTTCTGATACCATGTTACCCACATGCTTGTAAACTGTATTGTATAAAACATGACCAGAAAGGAGTGAGCCGGAGAAGTTTGCTAGAAATGTGTGTTGCAGTGAGCCATGCAAGTTGGCAGATGTGTTAACCCAACAATATAACAGCCAACTCTTTAGATACAGAATGACATGGAAGCTCAGTTAGGTCCAGGCTTTAACTTCTTTCTTTGTAATGTAATAAAGAAGAAAATCATAAAGTTATGCCCACCTGGCATGATCAAAGTACTCTTTATTCTGGTTTCTGTAGAAGACAGAGAAAGGCAGCATCCGCCCAGCAATGACCTCCGCCTTCTCCAGCAGCTGGTTTAGATGCACTGTGGAGTAATCTGGAGAAAGAAACATTTTTGTAAAAATGATTTCTACAAAAGCAGATTAGAAATCTGTATACATGCTATCAGCATTTTGTCATTAATGCCATTAGTATTAGTAAATGTAAACATTAAAAAAACAAAACGAGACCCACTAGAAGCACCGGTTAGGATGAAATATGAACCATGCATTAAGGATCCTGGCATTTTTCCATCTTTAACTTTTCCATTTAGATATGACTCAGCATGAAGCCCAAAAACATTTTCGATAAATGGATGTACTCAACGGGGAGTGGACTTTCTCCAAAGCATATAAAAAAAAATCATGAATGCATTTTCCCCATGGCTATTTTCCCACAGGCACCAAACACATCACCACAGGTAACCGGTTAAAATTCTCAGTACCTTGAATGAAAATGAAAGAAGACATCCGCTTTATCCTGACACTGTAAATGTTTAATGTCAAAAAGGCTGACTTTTATATAGATTGATGGAGCACAAAGCCGCAGCTTTCTACGTGCAGAGGAAAAATGCATTTGACATCGAACTTGTCAAAACACATGTTCGACTGGTTTTGGTGACAGGACGTGCATCTCGTGCCGGGCTCAACAGCTTCATTTAGCATTCTCCTTCTTCAGCTTCTTACTGTGACACAGCTCACACTCTTCACTTGCCTGTCATTCTTCTTCAGATTTAAACTGCCTCTCCTCATCTATTTTATTTGATTGTATAGCTGTTCTACAGGCACTGATAGTCCACCTGTTTGGTCCAGACTGAAATATTTCAGCTGTTAGATAGATTGTCCTAAAATAATGTCTTGATATTACAGTTGCCAGAAGATAAAGCTTACTAATTTTAGTAATTCTATTAATTTTTTAAGATTGGATTTTTGATGGACTTTACAGAATGTTATGTTTTATATTTTCCCATCATCAGGTTATAATATCTCTTTGTCCAATACTTTGATTACATATACTAAACTGGTTATGGACAAATCAAGTGTGTGATCATGAATAAGTTGTATAGTTTTAATGTTTTATTTGGGAATAGAATGGTGTGTATGTGTGAGTTTGGTGATGGAGTTTTTATTATGAATGAATTATGAATTTTTTATGAATTATGTCTATTTTTTTATGTTTTATGGACAACAGATGGAAATTAGCCCTTGGCTTTAATCTGATATGTTTACATTCATGTAATTTTTTTTTTACATGTATGTTCATTAACATGCACTGTCCTAAATAAAATAAAAACAAATAAATAAAAATAAACTAAAACTACACTAAGAATGAAAACTAGAAGTGAAAACACATTTTAGTTAAATAAAAAATAAAAACTAGAAAAAACTAAAAACTTTTGAAAAAAATGTAAACTAACAATTTTGTGAACTTTGACAACTAATTAAAGTAAAATAAAAATGCAGAGGAAATTAGGTCTAGTGCCCTACTTTTTTAGTAAGTATTATTTTAGTATGGATTAAAAACAAAAAGTCACAAGGAGATAAAAATAAAGACTAATTAGAAAATAAAAAAACTATAATAAATAACTCTGCTCTGCTATCATGAGTGTTGACGCTCAAGTTATTTGGCACTTCAAAGTGTAGAGAAAGTGAGATGCAACAATCACCCTAAACTGGAATTGGACATCATTAACCCCAGTGATGTCCCTCCTCATCCACCCATGCCATACCTCCCTTCCCCCATCCTGGTCCCCAGACAATGACGTTGAACTCCGAGACCTCTGCATCAGGAGATAAACAGCACAGCTCCTCTCAGCCCTTCTTTGTTATAATCCTTTCCTTCCACTCCGTATATTAGCTTCCCTCTTACCTTCTCCCTCATTAATGCTCTAGCCTTTACTCCATTGTACTCTTCTCTCTTCCATTATCGTTCTCTATAATTAACTCAGGCTCACCCAAAATTAAAGCCAAGACTGATGTCACATATCCTAGAAGTGCATGCATTCATCAAAGCACCATATTCCTCACCAGCAGTGCAGAATTCAATAATTTCGCTCCACTCAGACACGGAGTAGTCCCCATCAGCCTGTTTTGATGCAGTCTGGACAGCCACTGTGTACTCTGTGCGTGGGCTCAGGAACCAGTGGCCCCGGACCGTCATGGGCAGGGGTACTGCCTTGGCCACCAGTTTGGTAGGAACATCCTGGAGGGATGGAAGGAGTAAAAGAGGACAGAGTGGAATGGAAAAAGTGAGTGAGTGTTGGCAGGAAGGAATTAGTCAGAAAGAAACTCCTTATAAAGACACTTGTAGCCACACACATAGATATATTACCCTATGTTACTGGCTGCAGGTAGCAGCCACGGCTTCTCATTTGTGTAAATGTAAACTATACACTTCACCCCCAACAACAACCCCCCACAACCCAAAAATCGGTGGGCCATAGCAGCTCATTGATTGGACCAAGAGCCCCTGCCTAGCAACAGAGTCAGCCCATCAACCCACCGACACTGCTCCTGCGCCAAAATCAAAACATTAGTATGGGGTCGCCTGCTACTCCAGAGCAGAAAGGAGAAACACTCAGTGACACAGCCCCAGCAGTGTGAGGAGGCTGATGACACAAGTCGGTAAGATTATCAAACCAGACTCTTGACTGCGTCGCGAACGAGCTGGCAGAGAAGGCTGTGAGAGCGGTACTAGCCTTTCAGAGCTCAAAGTGACAGCTGACCGTGGATTCTTTGAACAAAACCACCTTGAAATGAGTTCATCTTGCCTCAAGCATGAAAAGGTAAGGTCGTCTTGAGGTAAAACAATGTCAACACTAATCATTTCTGTTTACAAAGATCAATAATTAGCATTACACTAGATGTTTAGAGCACGGCAACATCTATCTAAAGCACTACTGACAGTATGATAATTAAGGTGAAAAGCTCATTCTTCTGTCAGAAGTAGAAGAAATGTAGAATTAACTGACGTTTCATCAAAAACATCAAATTGAGCAGAGTTTTTTTTCTAAGCCACAGGTTTCTCAGAAAATTTGAATTTAATACTATAATTTAATTAACTGTTCATAAAATATGAATAGATTTAGGTTTATGGCAGATTATAGAGTATAATTATTAAACAAGAATAATAATGGAAATGTACAGCAGTGGTTTAATATATTTTAATAACTGTTGTGCAAAGTATTGCCTGTATTCATGCAGAACTATACAGCTGTTGCTTTCCTTTGTGCTGGCAAAAATATGAATATACTGCTTTTGTGCAACATGTGTAACAGCTGTCTTATATTGCTCATAGTTGCTGTTGCACACCTCTGGCCCGGAGACCTGCTTTTAAAAAAGGATTCAACCGAAAGGAAACGATTAGCTGGTTAAATAATAAAATGTAAAATTGCTTTTTTTAAAATCATTTGGTTAAAGATACTCTCTTTGCTCTCTTCTCTTTCCCCCTCATCCCTCAGCCGGTCGTAGCAGATGGCTGTGCTGTGCCTGGAGTTTTTCCCTTTCTGCTGAAATTCAATATTTGCTGCCTTTGCTATAACAATAGCACTGAAATCTTTAAATGGTATTTATGCGCCTCCCTTACTTGAGCATTACCTTGTGTTTGAACTTGTTTGAGTTTTTGTTCTCCTTCTTGTTCAGGTCAATGAAATAGTGCGTGATGCGCTCCTTGCTGCGTGCCTCCATGTCCCAGCAGATCTTGAAAGAGTCACAGGTGATGTTGCTAATCTTGATGTTCTGAGGAACTGGGAGCTCCTCCATCTCAGAGATGCTGCCGTCCTGGGATTTACTTCCTGCACAGTCCAGGAGAGGAAAAAAAAGACACCATAATGAAACGATGTGGTTCAAATTTAGTCTAGAAATCCTCTGAATAAACATCAGGTTCTGGTTTACATTTTATACAATAATAGTTGTGTCTCCTAGCACTTAAATTATTTGATGATCTATGTCTGAAGACACATTGACCAGTGACAAATCATCATTATAACCGCATCAAGTCATCAGTACACCTTTAAACCTAACTTACTCCCGCTATACCTAAACATATAGCAGGAATTATTCCACTGGCAGCACACTGGGTAATATAGCCACCATGTCACAGTCACACACAAAAACCTGCTGCGTTACTGACTGCCATATACAGTGTGTTTCCATGGCAACACATCAGTCCCTCTACACATGTACACCTATCAGCTCTCCAGAACATATGCGCCATTAAATATTTTAAATGCTTGAATCCCCTCTCGTCTTGGCACAGATTGGTCTGTTTATGATCAGTTTTAAGGATAAAACACAGCTGTCACAGTGCAGGCCCTGCACATAAGCCCAGAACCATAACATTTAAAATGCCAGTGAATGTCAGAGGAGCTTTTTTCTTTCCTCTTTCTTCTTTAACGGAGGCCCATTATGTCAATTTCCAAATCTATGTTTGTTATCTTGTGCACTATTAGACTCACTTTACATGACTAAAAGCGATCCTTAAATATCTTATTTATCCATCTTTGTTTTTCTGACTGGCTGCCCCTTTGGAAACAAAAGATTCCAGCAGGTGGGTGTGGCTTCTGTGCTCTGGGAAATAAGGAAAATGCAATTCTGGTTTAAGCTACATGCTACATTTTCATACCCAGTACCTAGTGTATTTGACTAAGACAAAAAGCTTCCATTGCTCTCATTCAAAGAAATGAATAAATCTCAATTTTATCTGAGCTGCATAGATGTCACGCACTATAGGCCACTGTAACATGTAGCAAAGGCTTTCTACCCAAAGTGCACAGAGAGGCTAATGAAATGTCAAAACCGGGTTGAATAAGAGCTTTGTAAGATTAGGATGAATATAGACTTTGCGTCACACTATGGGACGCCCACTTGGCACGGCAACAATGTGTTTTCTGTGTATGCTCTGGGGTCTAAACAAGAGTGAGTAAAATTCAAGAATGCGGTGTTTGGGAGTGATTCGAAACATGGTTGGATTCAATACAGTGTCAACAATGGCAGAACCAGTGAAGCATAAAAAACTATCTCTGTTCATCAAATGAGAGGGAGCGAGATAAAAGACTAATCCTATAATTGGTAGTGTGGACACTCCTGCCTCACCTCCATACAACACTAGCAGTAGAGCATCGGTAGACTGATTCATTTTAAGAACCTTTTTTACCTTCTAAAATCATGACTTCTGACCAATTTAGAAAAAAAAAAAATCCATTAGGAGGCACATTTATGTCCTTCATCACCACATTAAATCACACCAGACCAGACCCCCTACTTACTTTTGTCCTAATCACTAGTTTCTAATCACAACTAGCTGATTACCATCATCTTCGATTTAAAAAGACCTCCTGTTACACACTTGGGCAAAACTGTTGCTCATTTTAATTAAAACGTAACACATGTTGTGGACTTTAGTGCAAGGACCTTTGCATGACTAAGTTATTGCATTTGGACATAACATTTATTATCTCTACCAACATGTCATGACCCGGACTTTTTTGGGACCTATGGGAAAAGGATCCTGCATATATAAATATGTAAAGATACCAGATGTTAAATCATAACCCGATCCAGCATGACTGACTGTACGATCATGCTTGGCCCTACTGCGCTTCTTTGATTTGTGAAACCACCTCATCCTATTGCTTTTAAAGTCCATCTCATTATACTTAAACACACTGAGCTGATAGGTTTGGCTCAGACCAGACAGAGAGAGTGAACGGAAGACGTGACGACGCGGACCTTTGACAGAAAACGCTCCACCGAGTCAGCACAGAGCAGACAGTGATGTAAGCACATGAAGCTTACATAAAATCCCACCTGAGACTTTGTTTGCTGACCTTTAACAGATTCAAGAAAACTACCAGGCCTGTTGTCATTCTCTGACATTCATGTCAGCAAAAGATGAAATATACCCCAAAGGAAGTGAAACAATGGCAAGGATTTCTTATAGATTTTCAAATGTAAAATGAAGCCTGCTTATAAAAATACTGTGCAAATAAACAATTCTCTAATTCTGGCCACCTTCAGTATACAACTGTAAACATTAACCGACATCAAACATCAAAGATGGAAAACCTGCTAGCTCACTCGCTGTGTTGTGCGGAGTAGGTTGCTTGTCCTCTGCTCCCTAAATTGTTAATGTCAACATTGATGTTTTCACTAAAAACTAGACCCCATGCAGGTCTTTGCCCTCCCATCTCTCTGCAACTCCACAATACTCATTTACCTCGTTTACTCTAATGCTCTCCTAATTAACCTGCAGATGAAGAGCATTACACTGAGGCAGTGAAGCTTTCCAAATGCAGTCAGAAATCACCTACAGAACACTATTGAGGCAACTCAGTCACAGTAAAGGTTGTGCTATTAGGGAAAACAAGCTCTGAAAGCTGAAGGGAAAAGGAAATGGTACTAATGTGAAGAGCTATAGACATATATACAGACAATTGACAGGTTAAAAGGAGAAAGAGGTGAAGTTTGGCTTTGAATTGGTTAGGTTGAAGAGTGACGTGTGCAAAATATACAAAAACAAAAAACCCCAAAAGAGGCTAAAATGAATAAATGATATCTAACTGATACCAGCTAATCTAGCTAATTTTGTGTTCACCAGCTTTGTCAGAGCCAGTGTTAAGCTCAGGTCTGAATCCTCTGGGGCTGCAAGAGCACAAGACGAATGATGAAGAACACCAAACGGGATGAAGGTCAGGCGGTAAGGGAGAAAGCAGAACCTTTCATGGCTTTGCTCAGGAAGACTAAAACCTCCTTCCTTTTTAAATTAACGTGCTATGTTTGACGCCAGTGTTCATTTTGCTGAATCATAATTTTTAACACAATATACTGTAATAAGCCGCTGTTATTTTCTGTCGATTTACTCCATTTCCTTATGCTGTTTATTAGGAGGGGGCGAAATTTTGCTTGATCTTTATCAAGCAAGACAAGAGTCTGTTTTGGAGCAAATGCTTGAGAGCTTATGAGCACAGATTACTCATGCTGTGCACATATGCACCGGGAGTTCAAAATAACATGCAAGATCTGTAGATGCACAGCAGAGCACCAAAGAGCAGGCCACGGGAATATCGGCCCTATAGAAAAAACAAAAACAATCTTAAAAGATGAAAAGCCTCAGACGAGTTTAAGAAATGGACCATATTGGTTATTGCCCTTTTACTGTGCAAACAGTCTAACGCCACAGGGAAAAGCAATAGTGCAGAAGGATCAATATAAATCTTGTTAACATGCATACATGGAGCCATCCTAATGGCTCTTTATGGTGGGATTTGTTCCAGTCACACCTGCCTCCAAATTATAAATTACTTGTTGGCACTCTTTACCAGCAAGAGGAAAGTGATTTGATTTCCATTTAGACCATTTAAGCAATGTAAATGAACTCTCTTGGTGGTTGGAGTTTCCATGATGTGAGACTACATTATGCTTCCATTTGAAACTTCTTGAATTCAAAACAAATAAACTTTCAATCAAGTTTAATGATAAAAAAAACAACAACACATTTCTGAGCACTGTATGTCGGATTATTGTTTCTGAGTGCACAAGTAGGTACTCAGACAGACAAGCCTCCTACATTTTAAGTTGCAGTGCTCGATGTAAAATTGATCTGCAGACATGAGCAACACAACAGACACTAGGCATAGATGCTTGCAAAAAAAAGAAAAGAAAAAAAAATCACGCCTTTGTTCTTCTCAATGCACAGGCTAGACCGGGACAGAGATCATGCTGGGAGTGAGAGAAGCCGCCAACGGAAAAACATCTTTCTCTCAGAGTGAGTTAAACAATGCCCCGTTCATCAGGTTACGCAGTCTATGTTCCACCTTTTAGACATCAGTAAGCCCCCGAACACCAAACAAAGATGAGTAACGATAATTTAATAATGCAGTCTTTAGTTAAGTAGGTTCAAAATCAACAAAATCAATACAGAGGGGTTTTTTAAAGACTTTTCAGAGACCAGAATGAATCATCAGTGCTCATTTGCACAAAATATGAATCTCCAAATCTCAGACTTGTGTTTTTTTACATTTCATGTTTTGAGTTTCTGCAGCGAGGGATTTTTGTATACCAGCAGTGAAAAAAGAAAGAAAAAATAAGCATAAATGTTTGCAGTGGCTTTTCAAGGTCAGACGCCACTGTTATCAATGATGCTTTGAAGCATCTCGTAGAGCGGTCAAGTGCAAGTGAATATGTTACACGGTCAATAAGTGACTGCATAATATGTACCTCCAACTCTTGCCAGCACAGTCATGAGACACAACTGCTCACAGTGAACACAGCCAAACTAAAATGCCAGCTTACTCAGATGACGCTGTATGACATAAGGCAGACCTGCTGTTGTATCATGTTGATACATACTGGATAGGCTTTTCCGTGTGTCCACAGAGTATTTTTTAATCACAGGAGTCTATAGCCATTTTCGCAGATGTGAATGACTGGAGCCACGCACCAAAATTAATTTAAATGGATGGCTGCACCGTTCGAGTGAGTGTGTGTAGGAGAAAAGGCCATAGAGAAATGGCTCTGCAGAAGTGTTTTGGATAGAAATTGTTAGTGGATGTAGCTTTGATTCCAAGAATATGTCTGTATGACCACAAGGAGCATCGCTACTTTCACTCATTGACTCCAGCCCTGCTCGACTGTGACACAGCATGTTTGAGCTAATAAAAAATGAACATAATGAAACTTTATATCTTTGTTCCTATTTTCAATTGATCATTTTAGCATTCTGAAATTTACTGTTAGCAGTAAACACGTGACTGGTGATAATGTCAGTAATTTCAAAAAGGGTTTGTCAGCTGTTGGAATAAGAAAAAAAATTCAGTTGATTGAGCTAGAAAAAAAAAAGAAATTGCTTGATTTAGGAGGACAACAGCTATCTTTATAAAGACTTTCAGTCCTTCACTGCCAGCTTGATCTCAGAACAATTTCATGATGTTCTCAGGTCCACTGTCAAGGGATTAAAAATGCATCCATGTATTGACTTATCAGTGCACCTGTCTATTCTGGAAATGCGCATGCTAGTATGTTACCGCTGTTTCAGAGAGATTTCAAAGAGCACAGTCACACTGCTTAGTTGCATTAATAGCAGCCATCCATCATGGCAACTTCATCACATCAGCGGGTACGGCACAAAGGCCATGTGAGACATGCAGCGTGGATTTGATTACGTTCTGCAAATGCGTATTAACTGTGGATATAAAATCAAAATGGTGGTCCTTGTCAGCCTTACAGGGGTTGGTGACAAATTTATCCAGCACAGCATCGGGGGAGCGATCCATAGACTATGGAGAACACCAGCAGACAAACTCTGCTCACATGAGCTGATGCTGTGACTTGTACTACTCTTCATTCTCAGCAAAACTTGCCCCACACCCACCTACTCATGTCACAGCCCCATCACTAAACTGAACCATTAACACCCCGTCTAAAACTGGACACACAGAAACGACTTGTGTCCGACCATTCCTTTTGTGCACTGAAATTCCCAAACAGTCTTCACTGTGTTGGAGAGTGCCCTTTCCCACAGACAGTAAGCCTACTGAAGCTATATGCACCCATCTGCTGGGTCAGCATAGGCATAGAAGCCTCTCATCTGATAATAAAATATTAATGATTTGGAAGATAAATTTAGAAAGCTGTGGAACAGTGAAATGAATGCGGACCTTGAGAAAAATGTACGCATTGATTGGATAAGATAACAATCCATTTCCAGGAAAGGTAAGAGCGAGTGATCCAGTCTTTTAGAAAGGGTGTGGCTGGGACAGTGCAAACTATATAATATAATATAATATAATATAATATAATATAATATAATATAATATAATATGATATGAGGCTCAGGTGATAAAATTCAGAGACTGGGAAAAATCTACAAACCATTCTTAAAAAAGAAAGAAAGTTATCCAAACAAGCTGAAATCTGTAGTTTTACAGATGTGCTCCACCTTAATGTGGCAACACTAAATATTTATGGGAGTATGAAGATAATCTGCACAAAAATCCATACATAAATTGTTTTTTCCTAATCTCTTCATGAAGTTCAAGTTTTGTCCACAGTACTCGGGGCGTTTGTTCCTATCAGACACATTATAAACAGTTTCAACTAACCCATTGACAATACTTGTACAAGAACAACTACTTGTCCTGAAGAATTCGCACAGAAGGTGGACATTGTCACTGTGTTGCTTCATAAACAGAGTATGTGGGTGTCTCAAGGACACACACAGATAATATTTACACTGAGTAGCCTTCTTGGAAACTAAGAAAGTGGCTGTTTTGGCTCAGCAGTAAACCTGCAGCACAGAAAGCACAAAGGCTAGCACAGTGATCATTTGAAACGGGCAGCATCGCGTATATACCGTTTAGAATCAGCTCTAAGGGGTATACACTCTGGCAGCTAAAAGATTTTACAGTGACCGAGGAGACTTAATAAAGATACATCACTGACACCTTGGATGCCCTAACCAGCCTGTGTACACATACAACTCAATCTGGCATAGAAACTTATGAAGAAAAAAAATGAACCCAATTACACAATGAAAAGGTGTGATCATATTTCATGTGAATTAATTTCCAATCTTAATTAAGAGGCACCTCTGTGAGCAGGAGTCTTGACGCAGATGTGGAATTAGCGCTGTGTAATTGCACTGATGGGTGTGTAGGGCTGCACCGCCTGAGAACACATGTGGGTGCAGCCATGTTTCTGCCTCTCATTCTCTCCTGATGATGACTTGCCTTTTTTCTTTCCCCACCATTCAATTCGCGTCGGGGTTAAGCCTCTTCGTGCAGCTACTTGTCAATTTTCGCATTACAAGCCTGGTTTATGAAGCCTCGTTTTCTATGATGGGAATAGTTTCAGCTCTTCGTTTAATGATAAATATTCGGAAAACTTTTGATTCGAAGAAGTGAGCCACAGACAACACACAGCACGGGCGCAGCTGGAAGACTTGATGAATTATAAACGTGAGCGCAGGGGAGACTTTTATGGGAACTGGGGGTGGGATAGCAACTAAAGAGCGTCTCGTTTGTAATTATAAAATTTGCAGGATGACATGCAGTAAGTGAGCATACATGGGAAAAGGCAGCTCCTTTGGAAGATGGAAGAGAATTAGCGATTAAAGGCGGGGTGGCAGCCGGCCTCTGTCCATGTCTGTGGTGCTGAAATCAAGACACTCATCATTTAGACTAAGATTCCTGCCTCCAAGTTAAGCAGTACACATTCATTTTGAGCCAAGACCTTATTGCCACTGTAAAGACGCTCAGCTATTCCGAGCACGCACAAGCGCACCATCCATTCATCCATCCGAGGAACCAGCGGAGCCAGCTGCCCCTATTACTGCCACACAATAAGGGTACATACAGCACGCAGAGACAAACACTGACAAACTGACTGCATGCCTGCAGCGACTCCGAAACTAACAAAGCGGCCTAATGCACTGGCGTTATGCGGAGATATGTCAGCACCCCAGTGAGAAGCAGACAATCCCCCCTTACCATCTCGTTCGCATAACTGTATGGCGTCCAAGCTTAGGTCCTTGATCATCCCCTCGCAGGGACTTAATGGACTGCTGATGTTGTGCGCCAAACCTGGTACCTCCATCTCTGCAGAAGAGCCTGGATGATGTTAGTAGTTTAAATTTCGTCCACGGGTTTTGCACAGCAGAAGGCGTCCGTCCGCGGTCGTTAAGGGGTGGGAAAAGAAAGAGAAAGAGAGACTGGTGTCCAGTCAGTCGCTCGCAGCTCTCCTCTGTCTCTCTGGGGTGGTGCGGCTATTGGCGCGTCAGCGGAATCGTCACGGGCGCGAGCAGCACACGCCGCCAGTTGCAAAATGAGGCATGGCAGCTTTTGCGGGGATCCGTGAACGTATATCACTGTATGTATTTATCTTGTTTCACACGCTGCCAAAAGCAGAAGAAGCTTCTGAGCCTTCAGAGCCACAAGTGTGCGCGCGCCCGTCCTGTATGTTACGCCGCCGCGGGACAGTTGAGCATGAATAGTTCAGCAGATTAGCGCAGAGACGTTCTGGAAATACAATGGCTTCTTATGTAACCAGATTAGCTCGGCGTTCCTTTTCCACGTTAGGTCCCTCATCTAAACGGTCCACGCGCTCCCGTTCGTCCCCATTTCACGTTTAACGTCATCCCCAACGAGGCTCTCACATGTCCTTATTTGGTGAGGTGTAGTCCCCTTTTTGTGCAGGAGCGCAGGTGCAAGTGGTCCAGGCGGTAATGAGCAGTGGGACGACTCTGACATGCTGCAGGACATAACGAATGACCAGGCTTACCTCTGCTTTTCCATTTAGGTGACGAATCCTCTCGCTCTTTAGACATGTTGGCGCATAATAACATATCATAGCCAGAAAACCACACTTTATACTGGGTGTGGGTGTGTAATTATCTCCATTAGACCTCTACACCCTTTTTTATCAGTGCCTCCCAGGAACAGGAAGGTCAAGTGCAGGCGTAGACCACACTGTGGCTAAGCAAGGCTTCAGGCTGCCTTTAATAACAGCATTTGATTATACAGAAGTTGTGGCTCATCATCATGGAGTCATTCTCATTCTTATATCTCCTAAAGCAGTCTTCCCTCGTCTCCATGCTCCACATGGGAGCATCAGACTGAGGAGGTGTCACTTTCTATTTGTTTTTGTTCAAGTGTTATACAAGAAGCCCGGAGGAGAGGCCAGAGTGCTTATCTAGTCAGCGGACAACGGATTCTGCAGCTGCGTCTATTCCCCCTCTTGAGTCATGGTGCTTAAAACCACAAAAAGAGGGAGGGAGTGCAGTGAACCGTATAGAGGAGAGTCACCCTAACTCTTCTGGGGAAACACACTGTCACAGCATCATCATCATCATCTCTGAAGTTGAGACAGACAAGAAAAACTGTAGATTAACAAAACTAAAAAGGGGGAAATAATAATAATGTTTGATTTGCCTGCAGGAAAGTAATTGGCTTGCGTTTTCATGCAGCTTGAAGGATTAAAAAAATGGGGTTGTGGCGGGCAGGCAAATTAAAGTCCTGATAAGCTCATAATCACTATGGCATTCAGATTCAGTAGGAAACATATAAGGCGCACCACTAAAGCCTTGAACATATTCCACGCTTGGATTCCACTAAGGCTCACATTTCCTGCCAGGGATACACAGTGCATTTAAGGTAAAGGTCAGCATCCTGATCACTCCCTGCAAACACACTGCAGTGTTCTGGGGAGAAGATGCTGCCACATTCACCTTAAAAATTTAAATTGGAGTTATTTTTAGTATGCCTTTAAGTGGATGAAAGCCATGCGTAACATTATATATTTGCTATATGACATGACTTGACAGTTGCCCCCCAGCTGTGTAAAGAGCATTACAGTGACATCCATGGATTAACAACACTGCATTTGTTTAAATGCCCCCCACACCCCACTGGTTTCAGAAACCAGATCATTGAAAGTCCATGTGCAGTGACTAAATCATAAACAAAAACAAGTAGAGCACACCTAACAGCCCTAAATGCACAAGCTTCAAAAAGCCTAATTGCTATATGTCATCATCAATTTCCCTTTGTTGCCCTGTCTCCCTCCCCCCACACCTCTTATGTCCCTCCACTGCCTGCTGTGCTGATCTGCTTTGAGAGAGGAGGAGCAGGATGGGGAGGGGGAGGGATGAGGCTGACCAGTTCTGGAGGATTCCTTCTCATTCTACCTCCATCCATCCTTTCCGCCACGCCATCTCTCCACCCACCAATATCCCCTACAGGGTGAGTCGTCCTGTGTTAGCATCAGTGTTTCCAGTAGAGCTGCAGGAGGATGAAAGAAGGCAGTGTAACACACACACACACACACACACACACACACACACACACACACACACACACACACACACACACACACACACACACACACACACACACACACACACTGCCAAATCTTTTCCCCTTTCTTGTTCCTTTACTAACATTCTTCCTTTAATACTTTTGCCTCTTCAGTTCTACTTTGTCAATTGTCTACCATTTTTTCCTCTCATTTGTTTTCTCATTTTTCTGCTCCACTCCAAATCTTGCAGTGCCATGCAGTGTATGTTTGTGTGTGCACACTATAGGCCATAGTGTACACTGTATTGGCAGTCCACTCTCATTTGCTCCCTCTGCTGTGTTTAGAGGCCAAGTGAACACACAGTGGCAGATGGAGAAATAGCGGGGAGAAAGGTGCAGTGAGAAAACAGATCAAATAGGTGTGAAGATTTTGAAGTGATAAAGAAGGCGGAGCGACCCATATGCAGACGTCTCTATAATTATATTTAATGCCTCTGCATCTTTCGGCATCTCTTACACAGCCGCATACACACAGTCTCAGAGGTCAGTTAAGAGGCAGAATATGGAGTGCATGGGCAGACCATTTTACATTTGCAGAAAACAATACCAAGTCACCACTGTGTGTGTGTGTGTGTGTGTGTCACATCATACCACAAAGACATTTATCTGGCGTTTCAGGGCAGCAAATGAAGCATGTCATTGATTTACAGTGTGAAGTCTGGCCTCGGTGTAGCTGCAGCTTGATTGATAATGGATCTGTGCTTATTCGTTTTCTCCGGGGGCCCAGTTCAATTCCACTTTATCTAAGATTATATGAAATTCAAATGAAGTTCATTTATACGCCGAAAGGCCACAATGAAATCAGGGGAGACCAATTAAAAGCCGGGTCCAAATGTTATTAATAAAATGAATTAATTGGGTGTGCAATGCAGGATAAGCATGAAGGAAAATAAGCTTATTTGTTTTGCTGGAGAGCTTCGCATGAGGAGGATAAACATGTATAGCTGCAGAGCTAGAGGCTCATTAACTATAGCTTAACACAAAGACTGGAAACAGGGAGGAGCAGCTTTCCTCCCTCTGACTGAAGAAAGAAAAACCCACCTATCATCGTCTATAATGCTCACAAATGCAGTCATATTATTTTGTTAATTTAACCAACTATGCCCATATTTCAAGGCATGATTGTTTTTTGACTTTCACATTATTATGCCAATGTTTCAGCTTGTTAGTTGTCTTTTTATTTCTGTTTGTATGGAATAAAGCGTAAACAAATGAGCATAAATGTGTTGTTTACTGAGGTGCTGCCAAGTGGGTTGGTTGTGCTTTGTTATCAATGCTTTCCAGGAATGACAGTTTACAACCTTTAAGTGAACCAAACTAAAAAAACATAACAGAAATGATATTTGTATATCAAGACTAATATCACAAAATGCTTTACAACAAAATACTAAAAACTTAAAATGTTCAAAAATAGATTTTTTAAATTGGTGAAAAACAGGAAAACTTTGACAGACCTTCAAAAATCCTGGAGACCTGTTGCTCAAGACCACTTCAAAAAATACAATTTAGTCTGGCTTCTTAAAGCAAAGTAGAAAGAAATGTTCTTGTGACCGTTTTCAACATCGGTGATGCAGATGCTCTGACATACGGGTCACTTTATATGATGGAGAATGAGCTCACAGAAAAAGAGCTAGACTTATCAGGCACCGTGAGCATAATGTCCACTGGATAAGAGCCAGGTATGGTGAGGTAGCAACCGAGTCACAGCTACTCTAATTTACACCTTTCCTGCAGAGGCAAGCTGCCCATGAGAACAATATGTGAAGCTGTGGACTCTGGTCTTTTGATGGGGATGCTGCCAGGATGCTGAATAAATGCAGGGTTGGTTAGTGATAACAAAAAAAAAAAATACTTCTTTCTCTGCAATTTAGCTGTCCCTCTCTCACCCTGTCTCTCACAATAGCACATGAAATTGAAATTAGCCACGCTGGGCAAAGGGAATGATTGCCGACTGTGCTGCACACACAACTACCCATAGTGCAATTGAAAAGACTCTGAAATTTTGCAACTACTAGCTTTTCTCTAGAGCTCTAATATCCTTTATGAGATTAAATGTAGGTGAATTTGTTTCTGCCGAATCCAGATACATTCTCTTCATGATGGGACCATTTTCTTAGATAAGACCTAGATTTAATTATAGGTGTGATCCGTTTGTCATGTCAGCAATTGGCAGCAGACAGCAAAAGGAATGTTTTCATAACATCCTTCCTACACATTACCCCGTGAGTTTCTCACTTGTACATACCAGTATTTACATCCCATTCAATATTGTGATGTTATAGAAACCACAGGTGCTTTACAGACCATAGTTCAGTGGCACCACCTGTTAAAGGGCTCATTTGAGATGGATGAGTGACTCCCTCTGTCTATGTGGCAAACAGCTGAACATTAATTTGCTGCCATAATCAGAAGAGAGGCCTGGAGATGGTTTTTTTTTTTGAGCAATAAAATAAAAACGACTGAAAACCGAATCACTTTCCATATGTCAGGTAAAATACAGCACTTTGGGAATATGCAAACAGCCACAGGCAAACGCATCATTTTCTTTCAAGTTTGAACATTTTCCAAACTAACTTCAAAATTACAGCTATGATATGTATTAGAGGTGGCGAATGACAATGTGCTGTGCTGCAAAGAGTCTCTCACGAATAAAATGCTATTTTTATCATTTCTTTACATTTTATAATCTGTTGCTGAGTAACCATTTTCCACGCTTTACTTGGGAAATGTCATTTTCAGTGACAATACTGCCCCCTTGAGGTTTTCCCTCTGCAAAGCAAAAACAGTTTTTCTAATCTTCTCATATTAACCAAGAAGCATCATCACTGCTGAATTTGTGACCGAGATCTCACAAAAACCCATATTTTATTTCACGGATGTGAACAGTTTTCTGGCAGTTAGTCGTGCAGAAATGTATTATTTGCAGTACTTTCATGCAAAACAAAGAAAATAAATTCTCTCCCCATACTACAGTAGCCTGTTTATAAGGAGAGAAGACAACTTTAAATTTCTTCTCAAGTGTGTCTTGTACTGCAAATCCTCATTGGTCATAGATTCATTTTGTTGGATTAAGCAGATGCTGTGCAGGTTAGACATCATGTAAGCACATTACCCTCAAACTGCAGTATGCAAATGTGTTTTTGAATGTGTCTTTAAACAGACACACCAAGTGATTGCAGAATAGTGCAGAAGGATTACCTTCAATTCAATTTATATAGCTCCAAATCACAACAACAGTCACTTCAGTGAAAGCACTTGGTGACAGTGTGAAGGAAAAACTCCCTTTTAACAGGAAAAATAACTTGAGCAGAACCAGGCTCAGGGAAGGGCAGCCATCTGTCATGCTGGGTGTGAGGAGTGGGAGACTGTGTGGAAGAGA